GTAAATCTTCACCCAAATCCTAATTAAAAAAAAAAAAAAAATTACTTTCACCTGTTTTGTTTTTGTTTTTGTTTTTTAGACAGGGCTACTCAAAAATTTTAAATTACATATGTAACTTGTATTATACTTCTAGTGGCCAGCTCTGGCCTATACCATTTGCAAGGGTTAGAGTATTCAGGCAGGTCACTTCTATTGGGACCTATTTCTAACACAGTTCCCATTATCACTCATCCTAGAGTTGTAAAATGTCTTTAGTGTCCTTATGATATCCATTACCTTTATTATTCTATTTCACAAAAGTATTAAATGAGTATGAGGACTAACAGAGTTTTCCAAGGGTTCCTTCACAACATCCAACCCCCAACTCAATTTTTCCCAGAAGGACCGAAGTTTTTCAACTTAAATTCTCCTCATTTAGTTTTCTGGGACTGTGTTTTAATCTGGGAAGAGAGAACCGTAACACCCTGGAAAAAGCAATGACAACTCTAAAATTCAGTTCACATGAAAGATAATGCTGATGCTGCTACCAAGATGCTCTCAGTTTAACAGGACAAGCTAAGTCTCAGGTGCTATCCTCACTGCAAGGAGCCCTGCTGTCACAGTGGTTAAATGCTCACCTGCTCACCAGCAACTCAAACCCACCAGCTACTCTGCAGGAGAAAAACGTGGCGGTCTGCTTCTGTGAAAATTTACGGTCTTGGAAACCCTACAGGACAGTTCTACTCTGTTCTATAGGGACACTATGAATCAGAATTAACTTGATGACAGTGAGTTTTTATGGGTTTTACCCTTACTCACCTCAATGGCCTGAGGAATCACACATCTTTGAGGTCCATGAGGAACTCCTAATTGGCCAAATAAGTTGGATCCACATGATAGAACTTGACCACTTTCTGCAAAATACAAACTCAAATTGCAAATCTAAGAGGTAAGATTATCTGTGACCAATGGGTAAATGCTGAAGGATGAAAGGAACAAAAGAAATGAGAGAAGGTAGTGGGAGCCCTGTGTTTCAGGGCACTCAGACCATATTCTCTGTAAAACAATGCAGTGCCCAGTGTTGGGACAAAAGGGTATTTATTCCTCACTTTTCATGTTTCCCTGGGGTGGAATTCCCATTACTATATCACTCCTGTCCTTTCTTCTTGCCCTTCCTCATACTCATCGCTTTCTAGGAAAAGAATAATAATCCCAATTATCTCAATTCATGAGATTAGGATAAGGAACAGGGTATGTGTGGCTTGGCACCTTCCTCTCTCCTCATTTCGGATCTCCCCATACATAGCACATATTCTGGACGGGCATACTATAAAGATTCTCCCTGGTGGGAAGGCCTAGAGTTTGGGGAGTGAGTTTGGATCAGGGGAATAGTAGCAGAACCACTTGGCCTCACAATTAACCTTGTCCTCCAATTTAATTGTTATCAGTAAAAAGGCAAACGTTAGATCTCTAAGGCTCTGAGCCTTTCTCACAATTAGTTCTCAATGTGGGTAGAAAGTTATCTACAACTCCCTACAACTCCAACACAGCCCTTCTTAATAAGCTCTTCATAAATGATAGCTATTATTTAGATTCCAATAATTATTATCAAATTTGACACACATTATGCAATACCTCCACAGAAGACAGATGGTAACACCTAAGCAAGGTTTTAAGGAAGAAGTAAGAGTTCATCACATAGACAAGAAAGGCCATTTGAGGGAGAGCAAACAGCATGTATAAATGCAGAGAGGCATAAGAATTTGATTACTAGTTTGGTGTTTCTAGAGAGAAATGTATGGGAGTTGTAAGGCATAAGAAACAAGGCAAGAGAGGTAGATAAGGTATGGTTATAGAAAACCATGTGCTAAAAAGCTTGGAATTTGAGTTATGCATGTGAGAAACCACACAGGTTTAAAGCAAGGGAGGGACATGATCAAATGATGCCCTTGCCAGAGAACTGTAACAAAGGAAGCCTGGTCGGAAACCACAGATGGTCCTTTAAATCTAGAATGGCCAGCCAGACAGGGTGAAGCCAGGCAGAGGTTAAAATTGCTTCAAGCCAGAAGGCAGCTGACAAAATAACTATTGCCATGAACTCCCCAGCTACTCCCGAAAGCATTATTCTATTCACCCTTCGACCACATTCTTCTATATCCTATCTGCCATCTGGCTTCACAGAGACCAAATAATACTGCCCAACCCTATTACATCCACTCCTCACTTATCAAACTAGTTAAGTTCCAAAGACCAGATTGTTACACAAAAATTGATATTATAGGAAAATGGAGGATGAACACATCAGATCACAGAATGGATGATGACTATATCATTACACAACTGCCAAATTATATCATTTCATAACCACAGAGAATCATGGCCCAGCCAAGGTGACACATAACCTTAACCATCACAGTCAGCATTACCCTCACCTCGCATCTCGGGTATTCATTATTGCCAGATGTACATCATTAATGAGGAAAATACTTGGACAGATTTTTTCCTATTGTCATAAAAGCAAAATGCCAGATAACAAGATAGTTGATAAGTAAGGAGTGGGTGTATTAAGAAAACAATCCCTCACTGGGAAGAAGCTGCCATCACTGCTCTAGCAACATCTGATTTCCTCATACTTCCCCACCACATTCCCCTGATTAGCCCTTAGCTAGCACCACTGGCCAACTAACCAAGGCACATGGCTATCATTTTGGGGACAGGAAGAGGCCACTAAAGGTGATCTAGTCCATCCCCTAGTCTCTGGCAAAAGTTCTCCAGCCCAAACTCCTTTACTGTTAAAAGTCTCCTTGCAAAAGGCATCCCACAACCAGAGAGACCACTGGTTGCATGTGCATATTTCAAACACAAAGAGGCTTTCATTTAATCAATGTTACCACCATCATGTTCCTCTTACCCACAGCCTTCATGGTGATACAGATTTACCTGGGTATGAACTCACCTGTGAGTATAATGGTAAAATCCCAGCCACAGGCCACCTGTTGGATGGGACAGCCAAGGAGGGATGTACAGGGGGTAAAATACAGAACATCTTCTGTGTGACCAAGTCCCAACTGTCCATCTTTGTTCAGGCCACAAACAAAAATACCTCCTCCATCTGCAAAACATAAAGACTTTGGTGCTAGGGTGCACAGGGGAAGTTATAACTGCCCAAGCCAGCAAAAAGACATCACTACTTATTTGGAGTCATGGACAAATAATCTTTTGTCCCCACTCAAGTTAATCATCTGTGTATGTTAATATGCTCTGGAACTAAATGGCACAGGGCCAAGAGGCTCAAATCTAATTTCTAAATGGAAACTCTTAAGTCCTGGAGTACAAGCCAATCAATCACCAATAAAAGCCAACATTTATTGAGCACTTAGATTGTGCCAAATACTGTTCTAAGAGGTTTAAGTACAGGGCCAACTGATCTTTTAGGCACAGTAGGCACAGTGCTCAGGGCCCACAATACTTTTAGGGGCCCATGAAAATGTTCTTGTTTTAATTTATTTTGAAGTAAGATGAAAAAATAATGAATAAAGAATAATAAATCCAACCTGGATTATATTCATCCTTATACCAATGCAGTTATGAAATATTTTTTTTTCCCAGCTGGAAGTCCCACAAGTATCTTGCATTCTAACATTCCAAAACGGAACTCTATGAAATATAATTTTTAATATTTCTTTATGGAGGAAGGGATCCACAAAGGTAAAAATGCCCAGGGCTTATGAAAATCACAACACGGCCCTATTAACTCACAGAATCTTCTCGTCCACTATTATTCTTCCCATGTTAAAGGTGAAGAAACTGAGGCACAGACAAATTAAGTATCTGTCCAAGGCCACACAGCTAATAAATTACAGAACCAGGATTTGAACTCAAACAATTTGATTCCAGAGATTCATGCTTTTAACCAGGATACAATATACCCTCCTTTACAATATTGTAACACTTCTAATACTTGTTAAGTACTGCCCTAAGTCCTGTGAGGCAAGATTAAAGAAAATACAAGTTCCTGCTCTTAAGGAATACTCAGTCTCATTGCAAAGACTTCTAACTCCTCTATGTTGTTTTTAGGTGCTCTCAACTCACAGTGACCCCATATGACACAGCAGAACTGCCCCATAACAATTGCCAGGCTTTCTTCCACAGTGTGGCTGGCTGAGCTCCAACTACCTGCCTTTCAGTTAGCAGCCAAATGCTTAACCAGTGCACCACTAGAACTCCTTTAAATATCAATGTGCTACATAAAATGTGACATGTTGCCACTTTGCTACCAATCTGCCTCTTGATCAAGAATAATCAGTTTTCCTCTCTGAGCCTCCTTTGTATGAGGATGGATGCCCTACAAGATCTCTAAGCTCCTTCTAGCTCTGCCAAACTAGGATTCTCTGATGATAACATGAAAGAAATTACCTGTGACAACTGCAGAGTGGCCCCCTCCTCCTGTGATCCTTCTGATACATCTAGGTTCACAGAAGTTATTCAGTCGCTGGGGTAAAAGTACATCTTCCTTATGGCCCAGGCCAAGTTGTCCATAGCTATTTGCACCCTAGGGATAAAATAAACCAAAGATGAAAGTGTATGGGGATCCCAGAAGTCAAGGTTTTCTTACCCATCGCAATATTCCTCACCCTGACATTCCTCTTAGAGCAAATAACAAATTAGATTTCACAACCATTCAGCTGCTAACTGAAAGGTCAGTGGTTTGAACCTACCAGCGGCTCTATGACAGACAAGACCTGGCATCTGTTCCAGTAAAGATTACAGTCTAGGAAACCCTATGGGGCAATTCTGCTCTGTCCTATAGGATCAGTAAGAGTTGGAATCAACTCAATGGCGCACAACAACATTCTTAAAAGGTTGTTATATACAATCCATGCTATATGCCGGGCCCCATCCCCAGAACACCACAATTTCCTCCTGAGAGCATTCTCTACCATCTACCACTTCCCCAATAATACTCCTTTCCTTTTCCAATACCCCAGACCCTAGTGTTGCCTTTGGGGATATGGAGTTCCTTCTGATAACATCTAATGATCTGGAGAGGCTAAGAAAGAAAACGAGGGGGGAATTACACAGTGAGTGGGAAATAAATACTCTAGGGGAGTTCTTGTCCCCCTACTCCCCACACTCTCACTGGCAGAACTGGCAACAATTATCCGTAATCACAGCTAGCTAAGAATTCTGTACCCTTAAGCAGAGTACTTCACTGTTTTTCCATCTACACAGTGAAAGAGGTTGGTAATGATCTCTAAGGGTCTTTCCAAGCACAACGTTTTGTGACTCCAAGATTCACATGGAGATATTCCTGAAAGGGAACAGATCTCACCTTGATGGGCAAGATGTCTACTGTTGTTTATGTGACATAGGTCCCTAATCCCTAATCCCAATCCCTGTGGCCAGATATATTTGAGATTCAGAATTTCATAGATTTTATAAAGGTAATACATCTATCATGGAACACCACTGCAAGGTCTGGGACAGCATCTCATAGCAAAAGAGTAATACTTCTGCAACAAGGTGTCACTCACAATAAGTGGGTAAAGACTACAAATGGCCTTATATCAGGTCAGTATTGGGCTTTCAGAGTTTTTGGCATTTAGAATGGAAGATAAAAGATTGTAGAGCTGCAGGGAATCTTTCTAAAATTTCAAAAATCTTTATATAATCTAAGTATCCACCTCCTGACTATTACTTCCTAGAGATGTGCAGTAAACCTTTAAAATGTGTTTTTTTTATTCCAAAGACACTTGAATGAAGGAAATTTATTTTTTTAAAAAAAAACTATAAAAATGCATACATACAAACAAAATCTTGCCTCCCATAGGTATTTCACAATCAGTCTAGAAGAGCAAGCCATGGCAGGGGCACTGACGACAGAGGCCCTCGCAGGTAAATAGCTGCCAGTCACTGAGTACTGCCCAGTGTACTGGCCACACTCATTGAATCCTCACAACCACCTAGAAGATGGGCATTATCACTCCCATTTTACAGATGAAGAAACTAAAGCTCGGAAAAATTACGTAACTTTTCACAGTCAGACAGCTGGTAGACAGCAAGTCAAATGCCTGGCTCCTCTCATTAAACCATACTGTCTCTAAGGGGAAAAAAACAGATACATAAGTGAACTAGCCCAGAGTTTACCTGGCAGGAAGCCAACTGTATGACTCTATCTAAAATAGCACCTCTATCACTTTATCCTTTTTTTTTTTTTTTTTTTCTTCTCCATAGCATTTGTCACTCCCTAACATTACATGATGTATTTGTTTCCTTGCCTAACGTCTACTTCCCCCGTCGGAAAGTAAACCCCATAAAGGAAGGAACTTTGTTTTGCTCATTACTATTCTCCTGCACCCAAAAGTACGCTGGCCCAGAGAAGGTGCGTGTGTATTTATATGGTGAATAAAGTAGGACCCTATGAGTCCCCACCTTGCAAAGATCAGACGAAGGCCTGCTGCAGTGTGGAGTGCAGTGATAAGCAAGGGATTTCTCTTGGGCCTCCAGAAGCCCAGAGATCGCTGATGCTGCCCCTTTACCAGGTTTACAGGCTGCTAAACATTGGGAGCTCTGGCGGCATCGTGCCTAAGGCATTTGACTGCTAACCAGGAGGCTGGTGGTTTAAACCCACCACCCACTCCTCAGAAGGAAGATTGGGCAATCTACTTCCTTAGAAATACTGCCTCGGAAACCCAAGGAGGGGTCGATATGAGTTGAATCGACTCAATAGCAGTGAGTTTGGTTTTGGAAACATCTGGGAAGGAGCCTTGGTGGCACAATGGTTAAGCACTCAGCTGTGTAAACAAAACAAAAGGTCAGTGGTTCTAACCCACCAGCTGCTCTACAGGAGAAAAGACCTGATGATCTGTTCCCATAAAGATTTTTGCCTAAGAAACCCTTTTCTGTTCTATAGGGTCACTATGAATAGGAAGTGATTTGATGGCACACAACAACAAACATCAGGGGGAAAAGATGTGAGACACCAGCACTCAGGAATTCAAATTATGGGACCCAATTTCTGTAGTGCCACCACGAGGTCCTAAATCCAAGCTGAAGCAAAACAAAGGAAAATTTAACACAAAGTATTACAGTTGTATTTGCCTCCCTCACTTACAAACATTCCAAACACATCATACTATACACACACACACATACAAGAAGGTAAATCCCCTGATTATGCATCAGGAAGAACACACCATCAGGCCTTCAAGCCCAATGGCTCAACAGTATTTCCGTTTTAGTCCAGACAAGGCATTATCTAAAAGGCTTTTTCTGTCTGATGTTTCCTCTATCCACAGAGACCCAGTCCCCCAGCCAGGAAGTCAAAGACAGCACACCCCACCTCCTCAGGCACATATTCAATCTCAGCTCAAAAGCCACCTCAAAGAACTTAGACACTCATGCTACCTCAGGCGACAGCAAGTCCTCCATTCTGCCAATCTGTAGCCTTACATTCAATAACTGCTGCCTTGTACTGCTAATTCACTCAATAAACACTGCTGGTAAAAGCAACATAGGTGTTACTCCCTCTCCTCCAATGTTGTTGCTCTTGTTATGTGCTGTCAAGTCAGAACCGATTCATAGGGACCCCTCCTTGGGTTTCCGAGGCAGTATCACTACAGAAGTAGATAGCCCAACCTTCCTTCTGAGGAGTGGCTGGTGGGTTTGAACTGCCAGCCTTCTAGTTACCAGTCAACTGCCTTAGGCGTAGAAGCTGAAAGTCTTTCACGCTTGTGTATTTTCCAAATGATCAACACATGTCTAGGCACACAGCAGGTACTCATTCATTCACTCACCAACAAATATTTACTGAGCAACTATAATGTGCTAGGCACCAAGGGAAGCACAGTAAACAAGGCAAGCACAGCCTCCACCTTTATGACACTCATATTCAATTCAGGAAGACTGACACTGACAAATTATACATGTCATTACAATTGTGATAAATGCTATAGGACACTATGTCTGCTTGTACCCATGCTTGATAGTTGGATGTCTACCACACACATCCCTGTGCACACTCTCCCAACTGCAACAAATAAAGATAACCCTGTCTTTCTCAACGCTCCAGGAAAACCAACACAGCCCCAATTCTCACACCCCTACTACAGGCATGGTCTGTTCACAACAGAGTATTAGCAAATATGCCTGTGCACGGCCAAGCACTACAGGCCTCACATCCAAAGGATGCTTCCTCCAGGCTGGCGTGGGGTCGGGAAGGGCCTCCATCATCCAAGTAATGGGAGGGTAGGGAGCACTAATGGCTCCCACAGGGCTCTGGAATCGGCGATCCTTTTTCATTGAGCCATCCATGTTGTCTTTCCTTGGCGCTATCCCGGCAAGACGTTCTCCTGGAACCAGACGCTCTGCCCTGGAGGCAAGTTCTTTCAGCTGTGCCTCATTCCCTCCGGTGCGGACCCCACCATCTGGCAGGCTCCGAAGTCACCTCATGCAAACCCTTCCCTCCCGGCCTTCTCATCCTCAGCCTCCAGCCCAGGACCCCATTTTGGAGCTTGGTCTCCCTGAGCCCGGGTCTGCCCACGCCGAGGTCCAGCTCTCCACGCCCCCGCGCCCCCCATTTCCAATGGCCCCCAGGCCAGAGGCGGAGTCACGTACCCAAGCGAAGAGCGCGGCGGAGGCGGTATCCGAGGCGCAAGGCTCACGCTCCATGCCGGGACGCTCCGCCGGCGCTTCCGGGCGGGGCAGGCGCGGGGGAGAGGGCGGGGCCGGCGCGGGGCAGAGGGCGGGGCCGGCGCGGGGAGGGAGAAGGGGAGGAGCCCTTTCGAGGGAGGGAGCCGCCTGGGAGGAGAAAAGAGAGAAGAGGCCAGAGGCGGCTGCGGCCCGGCTAGGTAAACGCGCAAGTGGTGTCGCTGGGGGCGGGCCCGCTGCGCCCTCTGGCCTCCGAGAACCCAGCTGGGGCTAGGCAACGGCCTCCAGACCCACCTCCCAGTCTCCCAGCCCAGCAGCGCTCGGAGCGCCCCGCCCCCGGCCTTCTGTGGCTTGGCGGCGCTGCCTCTTTCTTCAATCCCTCCGCACTGTTTATTTTTAGTAATAATTCGGTACAGGTGCACTACGCTCAACCTGTCATAAAGCTCCTTCACGTTTTTATTTCGCTTAAGATTCCCACAACAGCCCACAGAGTCTGACAGGGCAGAGATTATATCGCAGTCTGCTGCGGAAGAAATTCAGCCTGGGAATGCGTGGAAAGATCATGCCCCGGTGTCTTAAGCGGAACTGTCCTTATGCTTCTTTGATGTATGTGTTTGCAAAACCTGAGGGAGCTTCCAGGTAGGCGCGTGTGGGATCTTAGATCGTTGGTGTCGCACTTAGCGCCTGGCAATTCATACCTCGGGAGGCTGAACTGCGGAGCTGGTTGGTTCTCCTTGATTTCTGCGCGGGCAGCCTACTTGCCCTCAGCGCTCTAGACATGGCCCTTCCCTAACTTGGATGATCAATACCGTGTAATTTTGACACAACAAAGAATTTTGTATAAAATGGCTTTTATCAGCCATCCTCGTACACTGCTGGTGGACGTTAACTATGTGTAATTTTTCTCAAGAAAAATACGGCAATGTGTGTTAAAAATATTAATATATTCTTGAAGACCCCCAAAGGGATGGACTGACACAGTGGCTGCAACAATGGACTCAAACAGAGCGAGGGCTGTGAAGATGGTGCAGGACCCCGCAGCGTTTAGTTCGGTTGTACGCAAGGAGGTGGAACCGCCTGGACCCCACCAAACCAAACCAAAACTACTGCCATCCAGTGGATTCTGACTCACCGAGGACAGAGCAGAACTGCCCCAAACGGTTTCCAAGGCTGCAAATCTTTACCAAAGTACACTGCCTCGTCTTTCTCCCGCTGAGAAGCTGTCGTTCCAACCTGCGACCTTTTCAATAGAAGCCAAATGCTTTAACCACTGCATCACCAGAGGTCATTCTCACTCACTGCCCTTGAGTCCTTTCTGACTCATAGCGACCTCTCCTTGGGTTTCAGAGGTAGTATCTCTACAGAAGTAGATTGCCCAGTTTTTCTTCGGCAGTGGCTTGTGGGTTTGAACCACCAGCCTTCTGGTTAGTAGTCAAATGCCTTAGGCACTAAGCCACCAGAGCTCCCAAAGCTCCCTCAATACATATATATATATATATATATATATATATATATATACATACATATATACATATATATATATATATACTATTATCCAGTACTTCTACTCCTGTTCATTTTCCACCAAAAAAATCAGAGCTGTGCACAAAAACATAAACTACAAGGTAGGTATTCATCATGAGATTAAATTAAATGGAGCTTAGAAACCACCTGAAAATCAAAAAATAAATTGATTAAATTATAGCATAGCCATACAATAGAATACTAGGATACCAATAAAAATTATGTCTTGAAAATTTCTTTTTACAAGTCCCCTGGGAACATTTTATAATCTCTCCCAATAATACAGTGAAATAGAAAGCTCTTCTTAGAAAGGAGCATGAGAACCAGACTTTACCAATAACTCCATTAAGTTATTTCTAGATTCCAGGTGTATTTGATTTTTATTATGTTTCATATCCACAGGCTCTTTAAGAAGTATAAAGATGTGATTGGTTTCTTAAACTGAAAAAAAGAAAATGCTAATATAAATTTAAATCAATTTTAATGTGATATGTTTCACAAAAAAAATACTTTTTAAGAACATGAATTTTGTGTACATTTATTATCCAGTTGAATAGTAACCTTGCAAATGATAAATATATATTACATAGTAAAAGAAAGACTAGACTGAAATAAACTGTTCCTAGAAATTAACACATGAGTTATAGTATATGATCTTTAGAGAATTTGGGTTTATTTTTTCCATTTCCCACTTTGAGAGTCAAGTTAAAAACAGCAATAATTCTGTATACTTTGGTATGTCATTTTTATTTGCATAACTCTGAAGGACAAAATATCCATATTGAGAAATGTAGGCATTCTGACGACCAGCTTTTAGAGCATTCTTCAAAAACTCAGACAATACTGTTTGTGTCTTTGAGTAACAACTGATTTAAGAATTCTGAACCAAGATTTTAGTTCAATTTCATTTCCATATTTGAGTAACTATCAACATATTCCTAGACACTCTGAAGATATATTTTAAATGAATAGAAATTCTAAGACTCAGAACACAAGATTCATCAACTATCCCAAATCTAGACATTAGAAGAAAGAACTGAAATCAGTCATTCAGCATTTCCATTATTCTGAAGCTGTGAATCACAAAGGTTGTGCCTTTAACCTTTGTTTTTAGTATGCTTTAGTCATAGTGATTGTAAATATCTTTTAAAATTTAGTAACTGTGATTCTTCACCATGATTTAAATTGTATGAAAATAATCACATACAGCAACCATACTTTGCTAGAACCCAGCTCTATTATGGTTCACTTATTACAGATTGCTTGCAACCAAATGGATTAGCTATAAACTCCAAATCAAACTCACTGCCATCAAGTCGATTCTGACTCATGGCAACCCTCATTGGGTTTACAAGGCTATAAATCTTTACAGAAAAAGAATGCCTCATTTTTCTTCCATGGAGTGGCTGGTGAGTTCAAACCAT